ATGAAAACTAATGTATTCTGACTCAATTGTAGGCTGAAGACAGTGAGAAATTCAAAACGATAGTGGAGTTTGAATGCCGGGGTCTGGAACCGGTTGACTTTCAACCACAGGTGAGTTCTTAGTTGCAATTTCTCAGTTTTTAAGAGTACTTCTTACAGACTCTGAAGTGATAAAATACACACTATTTGAAAAGGTACTGCTCTTCCTGGAATGTCCGAGACCTCCCCAGTTTTCCATCCTCTCCACAGTTCTTTCTTTTACTTCATTTGACTAAAAAAAAACCCCCAAAAAACCCCGCCAGCAGCTAACACAACTCTGGTATTCTTTGTGCCAGTAAAATCTAAAATTAAACACACCTTGGAGTTGTATTCAAATTGCCTTGCAGGTGATGCAGCACTGCTCATTTGAATTCCTTTGAAAGGTCTTCATTGATCAGGTTATTGCAAAAGAAAGTCTTTCCAAAAGGGGAATTGAGAGAGTGCGTAATTAGATAGCCACATTCCGGAGAGCGCCACTTTGCTTCTTGGTATGTTACAGAGAGTGGATGAAGTTCAGGTTATGAACAGTCTTCAGCATATGGCCTCTAAAAAAATCAAATTTGCTTTGAGATTTGACATCACCAAAGCCATAGGAAATGAATATTGCCATTTTTCCATTTGAAACTTGATCAAAGACTGAAGATCAACGGCAGTTAAAGACTTTTGCAAAGCACACCTCAAGGTTCAGAGTTAAAGGATTTTTTCAGGGCCAAGCCAGTCTTCAGTGATTCATTTGCTTGTGCATGGTCATGCTGTATGCAAGCTAACTCCCTACTATATTTAACCTATTATTCCAGTCGGATTAGGTGTAAATAGACTGACAAATATAAACCTGTCTTATCCTTCCCTCAGACTGTGACACTATGCTAAGAAACAGACCAAAAAAGTTAATCCTACAAAGAATTTGGTGTAAGTAAAATCACCACTGCAGTGTGCTGCAGGAGGTCCTCTTTTACTTATTTATTTAAGTGAAGCCTATCTTTCTGAGGAACAGAATAGTTATTAGTTTATTCCTGTTTGAAAGCTTTGCAGCCAGACCTAGGAACTTGGACTTCAAGAAAAGTCTATGAGAAGACTGCAGAATGTAGGAGATGTTTATAGTTCTGCATCCTAGCTGTCAATTTTATTTTTATCTGCAGAACAAAGACTTCACAGCTGTAATAAAGCTTTTAATTTAGTATCCTCAAAGTTTGGTCTGTGCACTCTATTGGAGAGTACACTTGAATCCCCACGCAGGTATTTCGGTGATTTTTCTGATGCCTAAATGAGTAACTATGTAGACTTCTGCAGTTCCAAACAATTCTGTAAACTGCTTTATATTTGACATGATCCAAGCCAGCCTGGCCTCTCCACAACCTTAGATCTGGCTTTTGATTAGCACCAAACATAGCATATGGCCATAGCATTACTGTATTTTCTTTGTATTTTTTGATAGACATAATGCAACCATACCTGAAGTCAATTTAGAGTGGCTTAATGCTAGCATGTCTTACTTAAATTGTAGTCGTTTTCTCAAAAAAATCATTTGCGTCTCAAAGAGGAGAAAGTATCCTTTGATTCTCTGATATAAACCCTCGTTTCCTACCTAGTAGCAGCAACAAATTCAAACTAGGTACTTGTGCATTCTAATAATGGACAAGGACAATGTTTTTCCCCCAATTGCTTACCTTTCTTGTTTAATGTGCTTAAGTAGATACGGCTACTGCAAATCTGATACATAATATTTGGTTTTACTTGAGGATAGTTCAGCTCCTTTCCTGTCCTTGTCCCTCAAGTGAATGCTTCGACTAAAAAAATGGAGGTTTCTTTAGAAAATTTCTCTTAAACCTTCTTAAGCTTCCTTGCTTTGTGGCACAACCAATGGTTTAATTGGTAACAGAAGTGTGACAATTCACTGCATTGTAAAGTCAGCACGCATTTTTGCTTCTTTGCTGTGTTTATGGTTTAGCTGTTGGTCCTTCCTCAGTCAGCAAAGGGCAGACAAGCCACTGCATGCCCCAGCTCCCTTCTGCAGAGATTAAACAAGTCTCTGCTCTGACGCCAAAGCTGTAGGAATGCAAGTCCTGCTGAGTGGTACAGAAGCTTGTAATCCCAGTCATGTAGCTTCTTTTTCCTTGGAGGGCTGGTGAATATCTCCAGGTGGCAAAAACAGGGCTTCTTTTATTTTTCTAGTGCTTGCTCTATACTGCAGCTCTGCATTTTTGTCCCATGATGTTGATCTTCCTTTCCACTCCTAGCAGTTCTCTTGACATGGGCTTCTGACAATTATATAAAGGCCGTATTCACACTGTGCCTTGCAGATAGCTCTCCTGTTACATCTGCCACACTCCATGGTTTATTATGTGGCTTACTTCACACATTCTTACACAGTTAAATGTCTGACTGGCAGTAGTGGGGATTTCTTTATCAAAAATGCAAGTGTAGGTCCCTTGCAGAAAACCAGGAAGACACTACCTTTGCTTTTTAGCCACTTAATAAAATTAAGAATGTAAGAAACCTTTCTGCATGCTACAGAGGTGGCTGAGATTTTTAAATTTACTTTTTAAATTAATAAAACTTAATTTACAGCTTGATAACTGTGAACCCTAAAATGAGCGAGCTGTTCCTATAGAAAATAAAACAGAACACCTTGTTCTTGTGCTATACCCCACTGATACGCTATTTCCTTCCTAGTGCTTTCCTTTCCTTCAGCTCTTTAAAAACAGCAACAGTAACAACAGTGAAGAACTCTCCCCTTTGAAATGATTGTTTGGGTATATTAATCTGTTCATTCCACAAGCTGATCCTCCTTTCACATAAAGCTTGCTAGTCACTTCTGTACCTAAATCCAATACAGGCTGCTCCTTCTCTAGACTGTCTTGGATTCTGACAATACTTAAGCCAAAACTATTAACTCTCTTCCACATTTTCTTTCTATTGTTTTCTTGCAGTGTAAGTTTATTGTGAAGCTATTTTCTACATAATGCCTCTATGTTCTGAACACAAATTAAATACTGCTACACAAACTTAGCAACTCAGGTTTAACACTATCTAGAATACTTGGAAATACCTTTTTGGCAGGAAAAACAGAGGAGCAGTGTTCCTTCATTTTACTCTGTGATTGCTTGGATTGAATTTCCCCAATTCACAAACAGGGTCACAACCTTACACTGATGCTTAACCAGGAAAGAGCTTGACCATTCTTTCTACCTAATTTAAAAGAAATACAGTAAAAGTTTGTGCTGAGTTACTTTCTTTAAACATGTTTCAATGATCATATTTACTATTTTCTTGGTACAACGTATTCTTAAAAACTTACTGCAAATATGTTTGCAGGCAGGGTTTGCCGCTGAAGGTGCAGAATCTGGCACACCTTTCAATGACATCAACTTGTTAGAAAAGGTATGTTGTCTTAGTTTTGTTAGAAAATCTAATTATCTAGCTTGCTTTCCCTAAAAGTCACTAGTCCAAAATGCACACCCTGCATGTGCAAGAGACTAGTTTTGCTCTTTCATATAGGCACAGGAAAGTCATAGCTGGAGAGAGAAACTAAATCAACTATGAACAACCAGCATTACTAACAGCATAATTTTAGAAGTATGCATTTGATAGCTTAGCAGCTGACAAAGGCAGAAATGCAACTTCTGTTTTAAGTCACTCAGGAATTCCAGAGAGCAAACACCTGGAATACTAAATGGCTGGGGTTATTCAGAGTGGTGAACTGATTTTTCTAGGAAGATGCCTGCACTTTTTCCTATGCACAGAGATATTAAAAAGTAATATAAAGACACTGTCCTTCAAAGCTCAGGATAATGGCTCCAGCATTGCAAATCTTCCTTGGCTGTGAGCAAGAATCTCAAGGTCAAATCTGTTCCCTGGTATCCTACTTGGCAGGGATCTGCTTGTCCGCTTCCCCACCTGACTGGGGTATTGTAAATGATAGATAATTCTTTCATCTGCCATGATTGCTGTCTTGTCCACTACAGGCTGTGGACTACAACATATGAAAAAAAAAAAGTTTTTCAAACACTGAGACTGAAGCCCATTTAGTTGCAGGTCAGTGCTCTTGCCTCTCTCAGATATCAGAACTTAGTTTAGTGACCACACTGTGCTTTCCACAGAAATCTAAGACCCAAACTTTGAGTAAGGGTTAGTTTCAGTTTAAATTCCAGTCTGCGTTTTAGACACTATTGCATTCTATCCTCTGTGACTAATAGTGTGAAATCTTATTTCCTATAGGATTGGAATGACTATGATGAAAAAACAAAGGAATCTGTTGGAATCTATGAAGTTACACATAAATTTGTAAAATGCTAAAGTTCATACCCCTAATAAATCTTGACATGCTCATTGATGAAGGAGCTGTAACCATGACAGATGCAGTTTCCTTGGAGTTACTTTTCACATGGCTGTACTTCAGAAATGGAAACTGAAGTTGTACTTACTGTCCCAGGATGTCAGAATAAAATATTTTCCAGAGAGCACTTCTGAGGTGGCCTCAGTACAAACTGAAAATACTATACACACTTGACTGAACTGTGCCATTTTCTTAATGTTGTCTTTTTTGGGAATATATATGGTTGTGATGGACTGTAGCTTAACTATTGTATCAATAGTAACTACTTAGACAACTTACTGCCTTGAAGTTTTTAATAGCCTATCACCAAGAAGTACCCACCTTTTATTCTCTAACGTAAGCAAGTAAGGTCTTTTGACTCCCCATTCCTATCATCAGGAAATAGCTATGAGTAAAGGGACTGTGTTCACTGTTCAAGTGGAAAGGTACATCTTTAATAGCTTTCTGTCAGTTCAAGTAAAGACACGGAGGTGAATTTACTGAGAACACTTAATAAGCTTGACTGCTATTGACACTTACACGTAGCTGTTATATCTTCTGAAAATCTGAGTATGTCATTAAGTAAACCTCACTCATTTCTAGTTAAAGACAGACTTCCTACTTCTTAGCAAGTGTGCTCACAATCTTGCCAGCTGTTCTTATGTTTAGAACAAAAAACCAAAGCCAACCAAAAACACCACAAACACCCAAACCTTCTTTACTGAATTTCATTCAAAGGCTTTTGGTTTGATTATTGTTTCCTGATATATTATTTCCTTCATCCCCCCAAATGATCACCTTCCTTTCTTTGTTTAAATGAGCAAGAACAATCATGGTATGTTTTAAAGTAAGTTTTAAAATAATCCTTTACAACTGAAAAATAGAACAGCACATTACAGGCTGCAGAGGAAACAGCCCTGACTAGGAAAAGTTTGTAAGCCATTGGGCTTACATATTTAAAGTATGCCTCTCCCTTTCCTAGCACTTGCAGTTCGTACTTCAAGATACAGTATTGCTTACACTTACTGTGATGAAAAAAGACACAGGGAGAACCTGGAAGCTAAGATATCCAAAGGAAGAGTAAAGGCAAGTAGGTTTCTGAGCCTCTGAACCTCACCTGTCACATCCAGCCAACATGCTCAGACTTTATGTTCTGCTAATGTATTTGGTTGTCACGGTCACGGTGGGCTGTGCTGAAAGACACGACTGCGTTAGTTTTACACAGCGCTGCAGAAGCAAGCACGACGGTGCTGTTCAGCTCCAGAGAAAGACTCATCTTCACGGGAAGAAAAGCAGAGCAGAAGACGTCAGGGTTTAGAAGGCAGAGGAGTTCAAGTTATACATACCATAACGAATTTTGTGCAAAAAGGAGTATCTCATGCAAAGGGCATCTGTCTTGTAATCCCAGCAACTTTAAGCACCTTCAGCTTCTTGACTGACAAAGGCCCCTTCCCCTTTTGCTACTGCCCACTTTGTAGCTGGCAGAGTCCCAGTTGTGAACAGCACTGTGAACTGTCTGCATCAGTTTCATCTCGCATTCACAACATTGCTAAGTTTTACTGATGCCTATGCTCAAGCTCTCCTGCAATCCCATCGGAGAGTTCTGATAAGTCTTAGTCTTTAGAACTTCTGCAACAAGCCCCAATGTGTTAGAGAGGCAGCTCTAGGCACTAAGACTCTGGCATTTGCTACAATAAATGACATCAAAAGTTCTAGCTTATAGAACAAGGAGGAAACAGGAAAACGTTCTGTTAAGGTTACTTTTGCACAGTAAGAGGACATTTGAAAAGAGAGAACCCCAAAAGATACAGTTCAGTGATTTTTCTTTTTTAAGGCACAAGAGCACAGGTTTATGTAGCAAAACAAAAGCAGATTATTGGACAGACTTCATGTATGGAAGGGGAGAGCCAACACTGCAGCATGCTTTCAGTACTATTATTTTCAACCTTTATAAGAAACATGAGCTATTGGTAAAGGGACTACTGACACCATGTGATTTTGATATGGCAATAAAAGAACTTTGTGGTTATTAATAGATAGCTTTATTACAATACAATCTTTTCCAGTCAATTTAACAACACAGTTGGTGATTGCAGGGTACTTAAAGCCTCCCACTCCATTTTTTGTTTCTCAAAAAGCTGTTACAGTGGAAAGGCTTCAAGCAGTTGAGGCACAATCGGTTCTGGTATTGATTCAAGTTTAAAGAGAAAAGTGAACGTGACAAGTTCTAAGCAAGCTTAATGCAAAAGTGCAAATGTAACCACTCTTTCATATTTAAAATTATTGCATGTATTTTTTTAAAATCAAACAGTTTAAGAGTGGTATCACAGTGCTGTTGCCTGTCTGAACACTCATGGAACACAGATGTTCTGACTTCATAAAACTCGGGTAACAATGCTTTTTATTTTAAATAATGCGTTTTAAGAACACATGGATCTGTTGTAACAGATGGATCTGTTACAAACATTCACAACATCAAAATTAAGTATTTCCTGAAATGTGCATTCAAGGTCTGTACTTGATTTCTTTAAAATAGATACAAATTTCATAGTGAATCTAACAGTATTCAAGTTCAATGAAGATAAATGAAACTAAGTAAGCTGGACAGTCTCAGCCACATACTGATTAGTAAGCCCATTAGACATAGGCTGCATTTTGTACTGCAACTGTAAAGTGTTCCAACATTTTTATGGCTAACTACTGATTTTCTTGCCCTTTAAAACATTAAAGATATCTTCTAGCGACTTGTATATACACTGAAGGAATTCTTTCCCATTCCTAGTTGGGTAAGAAGAAATATTACAACCTATCCAATCATCATGTACCTGATATGCTACTCCAAAGCCATCAGACACCACGGGGCCAAACCCTCCTAATTGGAGAGCTGGGCTAGCCAACGTGCTCGTAGAAATGATATTGTGATTAAGCTGAGCATAGGCTTGGTCTTCATAGAAATCAGGCAGTGCAATACCTTTGGATAAGGCTAAACAGCGCAAGCCAAAGAGATGTCGGTCAAATCCCTGACCTGTTAGAATAAAATAACAAGTAGAGAGATGAGTTATTTTTGTGAGAAGTAAACTCACTTACTTTAACATCACATTGTTTTTCAGCCACAAAAGAGGAGGTCTATAGACCTGGGGTTTATTTTCATATTAGCAGGAATCATTTTCCAGAACCCAGACATTCTGCACTTTTAATGCATGTATCCTAGGGAATGAGGGCTTGCTGTTTTACTGCTAGCCTCAACCAGGAATCATGATAGTAAACGGAAGTGTAACATTAACAGACAATTTTAATAATACATCGTATTCTTTGATTAACTATTTATCTGAACATATCCATGTTGTTTAAAACAGAGAAAGGCTTTCCTAAAATTTATTAATCTAAAGAGGAAGAGGATCCTCCATCAACAAAAGGAGGCAAATTTTAGACTCTATGGGGTAATGTTCAACAGTCAATTTTACTGAGACAATACAGCAAGTTATTCTTCTGGGAGCAACAATTCAAAAGAAAGCATTTAGAAAAATACCAGGAATAGCACAGCCAAAGATCAGTTTGATTTGGAAGTTGTTAAAGCCTTTATCCCCTGCAGGGATGAGATAGTAACTCCTCAGACATAAAGCCGAAGTTCTTGGTTGCCTTGGGGAGTACAACATGCACCAAGTATTTATCAAATTCTCAAATAGCCCAGCTGCTATAACAACAAAAACTAAAGTATAAAAAATTCTCAACACATTAACAGTGAGGTGGGAAGTACAGAGGCATTCTCCTCCATCAAGAAATGAGTCTTGGAGAATGCATTTTAAACTGCAGCCTTCTGCTACTGTTTCTGTCAAGTTTACTTTAACATTAGACCTCCATCAAAATTAAATTATTTGGTTATGAAGTAAACCTTTACAGCAACCTTAATAGAGATTTTAGTGCAAAAGCAAGAGTGTTTGATATATTCCTGCTTACCCATAGCAGCTTCTTTCGTCAAACGGGAATGGTATTTTGAGCACTCATCTATCAACTTCTGAAGCTCTTCTGTGCTATGTTTGGACGGTTCCCTGACAAAAGCTTCCGAACATTTCTTTGTATGGATAGAGGCAGGACGTATAGCTTCTGTACGACCGTGTTTGAAAGCTGCAGTACTACAAGACTCATAGGTAGCAACAGTCTGATTGTATTGTCGAAGAAAAGCCATCTGGAAGGCAAGCTGAGCCACAGCATCTGGACTTACCTTCTTCTGCTTTAGAAAGTCCTTGCCCCCTTCATGGAACTGAATCAAATTAAGAGACAGTGCTTCCACGCTGGCATCAAATTTCTGTTTGGCTTTGGTAATTCCTGCTTTTAAGGCATCATTCAGCTTAAAGTCAAGTTTCTGCACTGCTCTAGAAGAGTCTACTGAAGCAGGCTGGGACTGGGGGCTGATGGCTGGTGCCTTGGTGCTATCTTTAAAAACCTCATTCTGGAACCTGACCACAGCCACACCATCTCCCCAGGAATGTTCAAAATTCAATCCTGCAGTGCCATCCTTAGTTATGATAAGGTTAAAGGATTTGTCAAACCAGCGGTTAACACCATCTCCATGCAACATAGTGTGCGACAAGTGCAGAAAGTCTTTAATGGGAAAATCATCTAAACTTAAACAAAACACTGCGGAGTCTACTTTTTGAAGAGCTGCTTCATTGCCATTATCCAGTAGATTCTTTCTCAGCAATGCCCATGTATCTCGGTTTTCACTGGAGAGGTATCCAAGAGGGAAGGCCGGGGCTGGACTGTTGTCGCTAAGGATGTATTTCAAATGTGCTTGTATTTCGGAAGGTTTCAGAATATTTCCATCTCTATCAATAACATCAAATACATAAAAATTCCCATTTCTCAGTACCAGTAAATGTTTTGCCTTTTCCTCTGTATAAAGCTCATCTCTGTTGAGTTTAGGCAGCCGTGTAGAATTGAAAAGCCTGAAGTACTGAGACATATCTAGGGGGTATGCATTGACCATGTAGGCACCAAACCAAGAAAGTGAAGGCGGCACAAATCGGATAATTTTTTTAAAGATTTCAGTGTCACTTTTTTTTGGATTGAGGTGAAAAACCTCTGGTTCGAGATAACCAGCCCTGAAGGTCTTCATAAAACGTAAAGCAGAAACAATC